TCTCCCAATCCTCTTCTGGATCATCCAAATGCTCTCTAGCAAACTTCAGACGGACGAGGACATGTACTGGCTTAAGCAGGGGGACACGCCTGGCACTGCAGGATCTAAGTCCCTGGCGGCGTAGTGTGTTACTGATGGTAGCCTTTGTTACGTTGGTCCCAGCTCTCTGCAGGTCATTCACTAGGTCCCCCTGTGTGGTCCTGGGATTTTTGCTCACTGTTCTTGTGATCATTTTGACCCCACGGGGTGAGATCTTGCGTGAAGCCCCAGATCGAGGGAGATTATCAGTGGTCTTGTATGTCTTCCATTTTCTAATTATTGCTCCCACAGTTGATTTGTTCACACCAAGCTGCTTGCCTATTGCAGATTCAGTCTTCTCAGCCTAGTGCAGGTCTACAATTTTGTTTCTGGTGTCCTTTGACAGCTCTCTGGTCTTCACCATAGTGGAGTTTGGAGTGTGACTGTTTGAGGTTGTGGACAGGTGTCTTTTATACTGATAACAAGTTCAAACAGGTGCCATTGATACAGGTAATGAGTGCAGGACAGAGGAGCCTCTTAAAGAAGAAGGTACAGGTCTGTGAGAGCCAGAAATCTTGCTTGTTTGTAGGTGACCAAATACTTATTTTCCACCATAATTTGCAAATAAATGCTTTCCAAATTAGCCAATGTGATTGTCTGGATTTTTTTTTCTCATTTTGTCTCTCATAGTTGAGGTCTACCTATAATGCCAATTACAGGCCTCTCTCATCTTTTTAAGTGGGAGAACTTGCACAATTGGTGACTGACTAAATACTTTTTTGCCCCGCTGTACATCTTGACCCCATATCTGGCACACTAGAGAGAAATTGAATGCAAGGCGGCCAAAAAAATTAATGAGGGACTCATCAACGCAGATGTTTTGCTGGGGAGTATAGACATCTACAAATTTTTGGTTAAGGTGATTTACGAGGGGCCACATTTTGTGGAGCCGGTCAAAATTCAGGGTCACCCAAGGACGAGAGTGTTTAAGTGGGAGAACTTGCACAATTGGTGGCTGACTAAATACTTTTTTTGCCCCACTGTACATATTGTACATTCACATCAGTCCCTAACCCTCAAGAGGCGTACAATCTAAGGTCCCTAACCTACATTCACACATACACATACTAGGACCAATTTAGACAGGAGCCAATTAACCTACCAGCATGTCTTTGGAGTGTGGAAGGAAACCGGAGTACCCGGAGGAAACCCACGCAGGCACAGGGAGAACATGCAAACTCCAGGCAGGTGGTGTCGTGGTTGGGATTTGAGCCAACGACCCTAGTACTGCCAGGCAGAAGTGCTAACCATTTAGCCACTGTGCTGCCCAGTAATTAGAAAGCAATCCTCATCAATGCCCACCAGTGAAGGAGAAAAAATATCTGTTTGCAAAATTTTATAATAGAAACAAAAATAAAACACCCAGTGGTGATTAAATACCACCAAGAGAAAGCTCTATTTGTGTGAAAAAAATTATAAAAAGTTCATATGGGTACAGTTTTGCATGACCGTGCAATTGTCAAAGTGCGACAGTGCTACAAGCTGAAAATTGGCCTGGGCACTAAGGGGGTAAAAGTGCCCAGTAGGCAAGTCGTTAAAAAAAAAACAAAGCAAACAAAAAAAACAATATATACCCAATTTTTTTGTAAAATATGAAAGATGATGTTACGCTGAGTAAATAGATACCCAACATGTTATGTTTTAAAATTGCACATGCTCGAGCAATGGCATCAAACTATGGTACTTAAAAATCTCCATGGGTGACGATTTAAACATTACTACACGTTACCAGTGTAATGTTACAGAGGAGGTCTACTGCTCCAATTATTGCTCTTGCTCTGACGTTCATGGCGATACCTCACGTGTGGTTTGAACATTGTGTACATATGTGGGCGTGGCCTGTGTATGCATTCATCACTATGCACAAGCACAGAGGGACAGGGACACTTTTGAAAAAAAAATTAAATTTGTTTTTTTTGTACACTGTCCCTTTAAAAAAAAATAAAAATTTTTTTGAATCACTTTTATTCCTATCACAAGGAATGCATGCATTCATTGTGATAGAAATCAGTAGTGACAGGTCCTCTTTATGGAGAGATATGGGGTCAATAAGACCACACATCTCTCCTCTACAATGTAAAGCATTAGATCAAAAAATCATTGATCTCGTGCTTTAAAAAAAAAAAAAAAAAAAAAAAAAAAAAAAGAAGAAGGCCTTGTTTACAAGGCGCCGGAACTGGAAGGGACATTGCTCCAGTCCTCCAAGGGATAAGTGGAGGCCATCTTTCCTTCACTTATCTCTATGCCCAGCAGCACCAGGATCATTAGGTGGTTTCTCAGGTAGGGCTGAGAACCACCAAGCAGTGGCGGGCGGGTGGCGGGCTGATAGGGGTGTTTTCAGCTGAACCGTTTCAGCCATGGATTTCGGTGCATCTCTACTTATGATTTTTTCCCTAAGCAGCCTGGAAACCATTGTACCCGTGATCAATGGATAAGGGGGGCAATGTCGGGCTTTCAGTCTGTACCTTCATATGGGCTGCCTGTTTACAAGTTGCAGGGCTTGTAAATGAACTACAAGAGCACTCATCAGCATTTCATTCAGAATACAAGCTGTCAGCCGCAATAGCTGACGGCAGTTGTAGTTCATTCACTCACAGGATCCTGTGAATGAATGACAAGACCATGTGGGTAGAGCCCCGCTGTTTATAAATTGTGACAGCGGATTCGGGGAGAAGATCCTCTGCCCGCTGTCAAAATGAGAGTCCGACTGAAGCAAGCGACAGCAGGAGCTGGAAATTCTAAATACAGGTGGAACATGTGACACGAAAAGGTGTACTATTTTAAGGAATGGAATTTAGCACACAAATGGAATTTAGTACTCTGTGAGAACAGAAGGGAAGTCCTCCATAGTAAAATGTGTGCCCATTGCTACTGCAATTTCTGGCATTTCATCTAACATGTTTGGATAGGCTGTACACAGGACACAGTAAAACTAAAGAGCTTCTCCATTTCTAGCTGCTTGACTATTGCAACAGACTGACATTCATTATTTTCAAACAACTGTCTTTTGTTTATCTGGAAAAAAAATCCTGAGCATTGCAGGAATGAGGGAAACTATTTTGGGCCTACTGATAGCTTCTGAGTGGGATTTGAACTATTAACATCAAGTTTAACGTTTACTGGGTAGATGCAGAGCTGCAGAGCCCTGTACAGCATGAAGAGCCTTATATCTTCATGTAGGCAGCCAATAAAAGTAAATGGATGTGCTCAAGCTCTGCCTCCGAGGCCATGCACCTGTACCTGCCTTCTTATTAACCACTTGCCTACCAGGCACTTATACCCCCTTATTTACCAGGCCAATTTTCAGCTTTCAGCGCTGCCGCACTTTGATTGACAATTGCGCAGTCATGCAACATTGTACCCATATGAAATTTTGATCATTTTTTTCTCACAAATAGAGCTTTCTTTTGGTGGTATCGCCGCTGGGCGCTTTACTTTTTGCGCTATAAATAAAAAAAGTGCAAAAAAATTTGAAAAAAAAAAAAAAAAAAGTTTCTTTGTTTCTATTATAAAATTTGTCAAACAGGTATTTTTTCTCCTTCACTGATGTACGTTGATGAGGCAGCAGCACTGATGGGCACTGATGGGCACTGATGGGCACTGATAGGCAGCACTAAAGGGCACTGATAGGCAGCACTAATGAGGTGGCACGGATAGGCGGCACTAATATGCGGCACGGATAGGTGACACTGATGATGGGTACTGATAGACGGCACTGACTGGCATCACTGCTGGGCACTGACTGGCACAACCCCTGGGCACTGACTGGTGGCACTGACTGGCAGCACTGCTGGGCTGCACTGGTGGGCAGCACTGGTGGGTGGGCACAGGTGGGTGGCACTGGTGGGCACAGGTGGGTGGGCACTGCTGGGCACAGGTGTGTGACACTGCAGAGTGGCACAGGTGGGTGCACTGCTGGGCACAGGTGGGTGGGTGGGCACAGGTGGGTGCACTGCTGGGCACAGGTGGGCGGAACTTGCGGGTGGCACTGCTGGGCACCGATCATCAGTGCCCTGATGATCGGTGCCGATCCCCGCTCTGACAACTGCCGGTTCTCGGCAGTACTTTCCTCACGATCTGACAGCGTGAGGAAAGTGCAGCCGAGAACCGGCACTTGCATTTCCCTCTGATCAGCGTGTCATTGGACACCGCTGATCACGTGGTAAAAGGCCGCTGTGATCGGCCTTTTACCACATCACGTGATCAGCTGTGTCCGTAGGACAGCGATCACGGAGATCGCCGGGTGCGCGCCCAGGAGAGCGCGTTCTGGGGGGACGTCATATGACGTCCACTCAGAACTGGCCGGCCGCAGTTTAGCCGTCATTAGGCTATCTGCGGTCGGCAACTAGTTAAACGTGGCTGTGTATGAATCCATACAGGCGATGCATATGTATTCACTCATATAGGCAGCTACACGCTAATACAAAAAATACACAGCTCTTTATGTTGTACAGGGTCTGATGTATAAGATGCCGTGTCAACATAACATACAGTAATGATAAACATAGAAAAGAATTAATATCATATGGCTAAAGTAGCATTTTTAATAATTATTTAGCCACAACACATAATTTAGTCTTGAAAAGACTAGCTTTCCATTTTATCACATTGTCAATTGTGCTGAAAAACCAAACAACCTGCCAATAAATGGGACAGCATTTACAATGATGATTAACCGCTAGCCTACAGGGCACTTATACCCCCTTCCTGCCCAGGCCAATTTCCAGCTGTTGCACTTTGAATGACAATTGCGCGGTCATGCAACACTGTACCCATATGAAATTTTTATCATTTTTTTGTGACAGATAGAGCTTTACTTTGGTGGTATTTAATCACCTCTAGGTTTTTTTTTTCTTAAACAAACCAAAAACCACTGAAAATTTTGAAAAAAAACAAACAAAAAAAACGTTTCTTAGTTTTTGTTATAAAATTTTGTAAATAAGTGATTTTTCTCCTTCACTGATGTGCGCTAATGAGGCTGCACGGATGGGCACTGATAGGCTGCACTGATGGACACTGATAGCTGGCACTGATGGGCATTGACAGGCATCACTGATGGGCACTGAAAGGCAGCACTCATATGGCACTGATAGGTGGCACTGACACTGACGGGTAGGGCACTGAAAGGCAGCTCAGATGGACACTGATATGTGGCATTGCTGTGGCACTTATGGGCACTGAAATGTGGCACTGATGGACACTGGTAGGTGGCATGGATGAGCACTGAGAGCTGGCACTGATGGACACCGACAGGTAGCACTGCTGGGGCTACACAGATCATCAGGGCACACTGATCATCAATGTCCCCTCCGAGGAATGCAGTTTACCGGCTCTCCTCTCCTCACGAGCTGTCAGCGTGACAGCTTGAGAGGAGAGAAATGCCGATAACTGGCATTTCCCGGTTTACATGTGTTCAGCTGTGATTTGACACAGCTGATCACATGACCAAGCCGACATCTTCGGCTCTTTCCATTGATCGGTGATCTGCTGTGTCCGAGGGACACAGCGCACTGACGACTGCCGCACGCTCCCGGAGCCGCACATGTGCGTTAGAATGGGAGGACGTCATATGATGTCCTCCCAGAACGAGAGAACTGCCTTGCGTCCGTCATTTTACTATATGGCGGGTGGGAGGCGGTTAATAGACCTTGACAACTCACCACTTCAGCCCCGGAAGGTTTCCCTCCTTCCTGACCAGCCCATTTTTTTCTATTTGGCACTGTGCTATTTCAACTGGTAATTGCATGGTCATGCAACGCTCTACCCAAACAAAACGTATGTAGTTTTTCATACAAATAGAGCTTTCTTTTGGTGGTAGTTAACCCCTTCACGCCAATGTAACACAAATATGTGGCCTCACAGAACTGGGCTTTTTTCACGGGGCTGCATATTTGCATACCTGTCTTTGTGCTGGGAGCACGCTGTACAGCACGCTCCCAGCACAAAGACCAGGGTGTCACTCAGAGCCCTGGGTCCTGCTCTAACAATCGGGACCTGGGACTTCCGAATGAAGGTCACATGATCGCTGTGATAGCCTCTGATTGGCTCTCACAGTGATCAGTCACATCCCCCTTGTTTTTCTTTTCTCTCTGAATGGAGGAGAGAGCTACATTGTACATCTCTCTCTCTCCTTGCATAGAAAAACAAAACAAAACCCAAAACAACCAATTGTTTTAAAAAAAAAAAAAAAAAAAAAAAAAAAAAAAAAAAAATAAAAAAATAAAATAAAAAATACAGAAAAAATACCTAGATCAAGGTTTGATCCATTTCAATGCCAGGGTTAGTATTTGGGTCAGGGTCAAAGGTCTGGATTTTTAAAAAAAATTGGTATCAGTGTGTTTTAGGTAAAAAACAAAACAAAAATAAAATTCGCACTATTGTTTCTGGGCTGTACTGTGGGTACAAACAACAAATAACATGAACATATATGGTATTGCTACGATCATCATGATCTGGAAAATTTATTTTGGGTTGTTCTTTGGTGGTAGGTTATGGTAGTAACAAACACACAGCTAAATTAAAACTTTTTTTTTTTTTTTTACTATTTTGGGCCAGTTTTCCTTTAATAATAATAAAAAAACAACAGGAGATATCCATTACCATTTACCACCAATTTGTTCTGAAAGAAAAAAAAAAAAAAAAAAAGCAAGCTATAATTCACCTGGATGTACAAAGTAGTTCTGATGATATGTACGGTTTTACTAACATGTCAAAGTTGCAAAATTGTGCTCAGATTTGTTTTACCCTTAAGCATGAAGAGGTTAATCACCACTGGGTATTTTATTTTTTTGTGAAAAAATACTGAAAAAACCTGATATTTTCTACTTTTTGTTAAAAAATATCTAATAAAATTCATCATTTTAATAAATGTATTCTGCTACATGTCTTTGGTAAAAAAAATCCCAATACGTGTATATTAGTTTGTGCGAAAGTTATAGTGTCCACAAACTATGTTATATACAGCAGGTAAAATAAGTGTTGAACACGTCACCGTTTTTCTAGGTAAATATATTTCTAAAGGTGCTATGGACATGAAATTTTCACCACATTTCGGTAACAACCCATGTAATCCATACATACAAAGAAACCAAAACAAATATGTTCAGAAATTAAGTTATGTGTAATAAAATGGAATGACACAGGGAAAAAAGTATTGTACACTAACTGAAATTAAATTTTGTACAAAATCCTTTGTTGGTATTTTACCTGCTGTACATTGGAATTTCTGCAGCTTTTACTTTCTGACTGCGTACCACATTTCTTGAGGTGCTTAAATGCAAGGGCAGTAAACCCCCTCAAATGACCCCTTTTTGGAAAGCAGACACCCCCAATTTGATGAGGTATGTTGCATCCATGGAAGATTTTATTTTTTGTCACGTTTTTGGAAAATGACAATTTTTCTTCACACAAAGTTGTCACTTAAATTATATATTGCTTACACATGCCATGGGTATTTGTGGAATAACTCCCCAAAACACGTTTTGCTATTACTCCCAAGTATGGGGATACCACATGTGAGAAACTTTTTGGCAGCCTAGCCACCACAAGACCCCAAAATCCAATGACCACCTTCAGGCTTTCAAAAGGGTATATTTCCTTATGTCACTTCCTCACTGCTTATCACAGTTCTGGAGGCCCTGAAATGCCAGGATAGTACAAACACCCCTCCAAATGACTCCTTTTTGGAAAGTAGACACCCCAAGGAATTTGATAAGAGGAATGGTGAGAATTTTTCTGATATTTTTTGTCACAGTGTTTTGAAAAAGAAAAGCAAGGTTATAACCTGTTAACTGTATTTCCAGGAATCTTCCAGGACAGCTACTTGAGATAGGCTCCGGCTACCTAAAACAGGAAACACATGATCCACATTAGTTTTGAAAAGCACCCTCACTGCCATGATCCCTCAGTAATAGGAAATCATGAAAGACCTGGAAATACAGTTAAAAGGTAATAACCTTGTTTTCCCCAGTCATCTTCCAGGACAGCTACTTGAGAGAATAGGTTAGTATCTGCTTAGGGTGGGTCCTGCATGTGAGATCTTTCTCCCAAAAGACTGGTCTTCTTTGGACAGAAGTTCCAATGGACAATACCTTGCAAAGGTGAGGAAGCTAGACCAGGTGGCCGCTTGGCAGATCTGGCTAGAAGAGGCACCAGATTTTTCGGCCCAAGAAGCTGCCAAGGCTTTTGTGGAGTGTGCTTTGATACCCCCAGGAAGATCACGTAACTGACTTCTGTAGCTTTCTTCTATGGCTTGCTTCATCCATCTTGCTATAGTATTCTTTGAGGCCTTATTGCCCTTCTTGGACTCGTTGAATAGAATAAACATGTTGGTTGATTTTCTCCAATCTTTTGTTCTCTTGATATAAGTGATTAAGCATCTTCTTACATCTAATTTGCTGAGATTTGTTTCCTTCTGACTTTTGGGTTTCCCATAAATGAAGGGAGAATGATCTCCTTTGATGTGTAAAAATCCGACGCTATCTTGGGAAGAAACGCTGGATCAAGAGTAAGCAAGATTCTATATTAAAAAAAAAAAAAAAAAAAAAAAAAAAAAAAAAAAGAAGAACAGTATGGCTCTGCCACCGAAAAAGGCTTGTATGCCTCCTACCCTTTTGGCAGAAACTATAGCTACTAGTAGAACAGTTTTAACGTCAGAATCTTAATGGAGCATTCATCCACAGGTTCGAATGGAGCTTTTTGAAAACTTTAAGGACTGTGCCCAGATCCCATGATGGAAATTTCGCCCTTAGCAGAGTTCTCTTTCTAGACAGATTTCAGAAACCACTTTATCAAGGGGATCTCAGCCAAGTGTACTTCCAGGAGACTGGAAAGGGCTGCTACCTGTACTTGCTGCCAGATTAAAGTCAGCTCAAACTTGTAAGAATTCTAGAACTGAATTTTTTTTATTATTTAAATATTTATTAATAATTTTCACAGAAATAACAAACAATTTCATCTCAATCATAAATATACGATTATTTCTTATAATTTCAATTATCCCCCTCTTAAAACCTGGACCCCTCCCCCCACTCTGCATTTCCTTGACTTGTATCCAAAGCAAGCATATCCTACCCAATTTTTCTCTATAACGTTCTACTTTTCACTTTCTCATACTTATTACAAAGTTTTCCCATTTTTCCCATTTCGCGAGAGATATATCTCCAGCTTATCTTCCTGTATATAATATGTCTTCTCCATCTCCCTAGTCCAGTTTACTCTCTCTATCCACTCCTCCTCTTTCGGTGTTTCTTTTTTCTTCCAATATTTGGGGATCAGGCTTTTTGCTGCGTTCAAATAGTACCCTAAACCTAATTTCTTATATTTACTGATATCTCTGAACTGTGTAACAGGCACAACCCAGGATCTAACCCGATGTTTATTTCAATGATGTTCTCTATTAAATATATTATTTTTTTCCAGAATATTTGAATCTTTGGACATTCCCACCAAATATGATAAACTGTCCCCACTTCCCCACACTCTCGCCAACACCACTGTGATTTCTCCGCACTTATCTTACCCTCCACATTCGGAACAATGTGCCATCTTGTCAAACATTTATAATTTAATTCTACATTCCTCAAACTTATAATTCTGTGAACTAATCTATTTATTTTCTTCCGTTTTCCTTCATCTAATACCACCCCCATATCTCTTTCCCAATTCACAATGTGCAATGGTTTAGTGTTTGTGTCTAGATCTGTGAGAATTCCATATACTTTAGCTATTCCATGTTTTCCCATCACCCCGTGAATCCAAAAACCTTTCAAACAAATTCCAATCCTTTTTCGTTCTCAGGGGTTTTGGGAGATTTCCCCAAAAACGTTTTAGTTGATAACGCCACTCATCTAGCCTAGTGAAGATATTTCCCTTTTCCAACTCTTTAAAGGTCTTCAGTTTCCCATCCCCCATTATATCTCTGAGTTGGACATCGTCCTTTATAAACCATCTACCTGTTATCTCTTCTCTACCTGGTGGAAAAAATTCTGTGTTTCTTAGTGGCATAAGTATAGAATTAAATTCCCATTTCATATATTTGTGTATTTTATCCCATTCCCTTAATACATTTACAGTGTACAAACTTAAATCCTCCTTCAATCCTCTATATTGTGTCGATAGCCATATTATTCTATTCAAATTGGTTCCACTAAGTGTATTCTTTATTTTTACCCAACTTTTCCCCTCTAAATTAAACGTCCAATCAAAAATTCTCCCTAATATTACTGCTTTATAATATCTCTTTATATCTGGAACTCCCAGAGACCACCTTCTCTTTATCTCTACTTAGTATTTCGTGGGACACCCTCGGTTTTTTCTTCCTCCAGATATATCCCGTTATCATTCTTTTTATTACTTTAAAAAAAGCTTCCGGGAGTTTATTTGGTATCATTTGGAATCTGTATAAGATTTTTGGTAGAATTATCATTTTTACCAGGTTTATACGTCCTAACCACGATGGGATTCCTCTCTCTAATGCTTTTAATTCCCCCTTTACTTCATT